ATTAACCTTCATAAACATATTGGCACCTTTTCTTGCATCTACAAGTGCTATGTCTTGTGGTGTAGATACAATTACAACACCTAATAATATCAAAATATACATTTAATATTAGCTAAATAATATCGGCAACTTACATATTCTAATCAATAATAAAGTAATTGCTGGAGTGCTTTCATCACCTGAATAATAAATAACATAATATACATATATTGATATTTAATACAAAAGATTAAGGAGATAAGAGAACTTTTTTTAAAAAAATTTTAACCATGAACAACTTGACAATAACCTAAATAATTTTAATAATTTATTTTTTATTTTTAATTATACCAGGTTGTAGAATTAAAAACAAAATTTTAGTTAGATGTCATCGGGTTACTCATGTTTAAAATTTAGAAGAAAAAAAATTATATTTAAATTTTATTGACTTCCTATTGAATAACAGAGTTATGATCGTGATTTCGTTGAACACGGGTAGGCTTACATATATGTATTCTTATTCAATAAATCTTTATATTCAGAGAATATTCGAATAAAAACTTTCAAATAATTATTCAATAAATAATGCGAATAACAAAACTTATTCGAATAAGTAATTTTATACTTAATCAAATAATCTCAGTCATTCGGCGAATATTCGAATAAATATTTGCTGCTCTAAATAATTTGAATATTATTCGAATAATCAGTAAGCTCTACCCACAGGTCACGGAATCATATAAATCATATTTTTTCTTATTTATCTAAATCGCACAAGAATTTGTTAAAGTGACTAAAAATATTCAAGACTTTCCATAAGTCCTCTCCAGACAACTGGCGAATCTTCACCTATTATGAACCCCATAGACATTGCTTTCACACCATAGTTTACAAGCGGAATCAAATTTCCTTAATAAAATTGAGTTAATTTAACTATGAGGAGTTAGATACAGAAATTGATAATAAAAATTATTGCACGGGTCTTATGTGACAACCCGTGCTTTTTTCATTTACTTATTGGCACGGGATTGTTACGTCAGACACCG